TACACCCGGGTTTGAGCAAGGAGCAAAATTATAAAATTATAAAATAACAAAAAAAAACGCGGAGATCGGGAGGACTCGTACCATGAAATCTTGTGATCATGAGTCCTACGTCTTGACCACTCGTCTATTTTAATGCGCCGGTAAAAAAAGATAGAAGGCATATAAAAAGCGCGGTAAGGGGACTATTTCGTCTGCCCTTAATGCTAGCCGTCTCTCATGTGACTGATATGAAACTTGATGCGAGCCGTATTAAAATCTAGATACCCGGGAACTACTAAATTTGTTTCCCAAAAGGAACTGGCTGTCGCAGGTTTGTATAGTTTCAATCCTATTAGTGTCTTCTGAATAGTGATGAAATTGTACTTTTTCTAAGCTGCTTCTGAATAAGAAGGAAATATTAGAACATCCTATTTAAACAGAGAGGTAATTAACATTTTTCAAACATCTTGATCACAACTAATACACTTTTTACTGAGAAACTCAATGGCTGAAAACTTCTCATATTACCAATGAATTTGAAAACCCATCATCATTGGTTACCCGGCAGTGTATGAATTGCTTTAAATTGGTATACAAGCACCGACACATGACAAAAACAACATCCATGAGCCACAAATGGTCAAATGATCTCAAACTCCCATTTCAATTGAGTTCCATATGCGGCCAGCTTATTTATATCACAGGACTCCCGGAACCGGGGTGATCTTTTGCAGCCATCCGACCAATCAAACCGCAGATGGGCACCTAGTAGGTACAAGGTTTAGCTCTCCCAAAGCATATGAGCTTTCCCGCCGAACAGCATACGTGTGCCCAATTGCGTGTGCCTCTCCGTCAATTCGAAAATCGTACTGATTAAGCTCTAAATAACTAATTGAGCTCAATTGAGGAAGATCAGAGTTTTTCCAGAGTGAGCCACTACTGCGCTGCTGCTCCTCGTCCGTCGGCGTCCCACAGTGGAACCGAAGAGCAATTTAATTAATTAAACATCATCGTCGACAACAAGATCGAGGCGCGCGAGGGAGCGAAATCCGTAGATCCGTGAAGCATTTAATTTGCATAGATTATGTGAGAGAGTGCGGTCAGATCCGATCCGATCCAATCCAATGGCGATGGGTGGCGGTTGGTGGGTAACCGTTTCCGAGAATGACTGGATCAAAAATAAAAAAAAAAACTTTGGCCTTTTCTCAATTATCATTCCACAGCTTGTGTGTGTTATTTTGACGAAGTTTATAGATTGTTTATTGATTTGACCCGGGAACGATTCATTAGTTTCGTTTGATTGATGAAATTTTATCATCCTGTTTTAACGCACATCTTAGGACGAGAGGGAATTTATATGGTAATTTTCTGTGCCGTAAATATTTCCCAAACGTAGAAATTGATTAAAACGATGATGATTCTATCACTGGCAGTGTTTCGATTGCAGCACTTATCGCAGTGAGTTGATCGAAACGTAAGCGTCACTCTGCGTTATTATCAGCAGTTATAGGAGGAAGGAGTGATTACCACAGCCTTTCCCTCTTTCTGTCTGTCTGGCTAAGCAATCGTTGCTGGTTTGGTTGCTACGGGCCTGGGTTGGTATTTCCAGCCTGCTGTGGCACACTAAAACGCAGGCAGACACAAACGAGGGAGAAACGCCGGGAATCGGAGGCACACCACACGTTACACGCACGATTACTGGAATCATGGTCGAAAGTGAGGGATTTTTCAATTAACTCCGCTCTCTCCCACTTTCCAGCAGAGTACCTAGTACACTCCAGTGTGGTAGCACCTTCGCACGAATTTCAGCAGCAGCTTGGATCAGTTTTGAGACTTTGTTGAATTCCACACACATCTCAGACGTGTTTATAGGCGAACTATGCGCACTGGCTGCCGTTGGCTTCCCGATGTATGATTCGGGAGCCCGGTAATTCAGAAGCTATTTCCAATCAATTATATTACTCAAAATTGAGCTGTTGAAGAGTACAAATAAGCAAACAAAAGATGAATTAGGATGGAAGGTAACCCACGAAGCCGGAGGCCACGACGACGGTAGAATCTTGGATCATGAGGAGCACATTTTGCTCAACAACGATAGAGGGAGGGTTAAAGTCTATAAAACCGTAATGATTGTCCACCTCTTTCGACTCCAGCCAGTCATTCAGCAATAGACAGCTCAATCGTCCCATGCTACTTCCCCTGTGGCTACGACTTCGGTTTGTCTCGAGGCTAAACGAGGGCGGGAAAGTATGTGGTAAACATGAAAATAATAATGTTTCTGAATGGTTGCCACTGACGAGCTGAAGACGATGGTGAAGAGAAAGATTGCTTTTGGGACATACGAAGAATGGAAATGGTAGAAGAGGAAACAGATTTACTCGATAAAGAAAAGGAATTTAGAGAAACCTATAGCTTCTCATTCAATAACCACACCAGTCACTGACCAATACAGGTCAACCTTTTTGGCAGGCATGAATAGCAATTAGGGTGAATAAGCTGTCTTAATAGTCACAATATTTACTAAAATAATAATTTAATCCGTACATTTCAGAGTCAGCGAAAGGCAACTGGAGGCTTTTTAAAGCTACATGGATGTACATTGCCCTCGAAGCATTTAAGAATAATGCTGATCATAAAATATCAACCGCGAATAAGCATTAATGCGCATACATTTCGTTACGATCGAAAAGCGAAAAACTAAAATCACCAACAGCACCACTTACCAGGAAATATGCATCGTTTACCGATCATTTCCCGAAATTAGGGACTATAATCCCCTGCTAATAGCTCCAGAGCCAGTGTCTCGAAATAATTACAACTTTGGTGACATTTCCTTTTGCACATGCCTGAAGCCAAGAAGATCCATTGTGTCCAACAGCAGTGGCACAAATCTTACACAAACCGACCGAAGAAAAACAAACCACATAAAAGCCGGTGTGTTACTCACTCTTTGAAATGAATACATAGACGTACGAATAGACTTGAACGACCAAACGAATAATCTATTGCCGACGGATTTGAGTTGGATTTTAGCGGCTCTGTCTGGAATTTATACCATTTTGAGCTGGTGAATGAAACTGGCCTTCGTCTTTTGCACAAACTTCCCGAAGTGGTTTAATTGCGATTATGACGACCTCCCTTAGCGCAGTCGGTAAAGGCGCAGCTACAAAGCAAGACCATGCTGGAGGAGGCTGGTTTCAATTCCTGGTCCGGTCTAAGAATTTTTCGGGTTGGAAAATTTCTCGACTTCCCTGGGCAATAGAAGTATGATTGGACTTGCCACACAATTATACCAATGCAAAAATGGTACAGGCATCGAAAGCTCTCAATTAATAACTGTGAAAGTGCATCTAGAACACTAAGTTGAGAGCACGCAATAAGCTAATATGCGATATGCAATAAGCTTAAAATGCGAAGAAGAAGAATAAGAAGAAGAAGAAGAAGCAAAAGGGAATTCATCAACAACTAACTCCAGAGCTAACAAAGAATGTGTAAGGGTTTACGTGGCCTTGAGTTTGATACCAGACTCCTTCCCATTATTATGTTTTATACTTTTGCATAATTTTCTTATCAATTGCTTAAAAAGATCACCAATCTCGTTCGTGTTCATTTCGGAAAACTATGCAAAACTATTATCACTTTACTTATCAAGGATTATCCTGAATAAAAAAATTACCCTACCTGTTAACAAAATGTCTCCTTCTGCGACGGATGATGCAGATGAAACCTTCTGGCTTTTAAAATATTTTCCATCTAGTTTTAGATGCATGTTGTCGATTCTACCAACGAATCTAACCGCTCGAATAAACTCGTCCTTGAAAAATTCGATTTTAACTGACTAAAACGTGGATATTTAAAGTTAGTAGAAAATTTCCCAAATACACAACATACCCTAAATCAATGTATCCCACTTAAATTGAAAACGATCACGTTTTTGAGTATTTAGACCACAATAATTTCCTTTCCTATGTTTGATTGAGTTAGTTGTCGCTGTAGGATATCTAAAGGCACTACTATTGAAAGAAATAAAAAAAAAATGGCTACCGAAAAAAAGCTAGTTAGTCGTCGACTGTGCTCTGGTCGTTAGTGCAATCTATTGGTTCTATGATCAGGACTGTTAACAACGTTCAAAAGTTTCATTTTCTACGTATCACATGATATGTTCATAATCTAATTTTCTATGCAACTCCTATACATTCGTATTTTTATTTCTATCAATAGAAAATTAATCACTTTCTCAAATGTCTATTAATGCAAATATAATTCTGAGCTGTTTTTTATCAATTGATAACTGTTTTACGCAGAAAATGTATCGTCTATATTTTACTCTGATCCTATGTAACCAAACGAATGATTGACGCAAAATCATTAAAATCTTCAGATGAACCCGGAGGTGAATGAAACTTTACCTTCTCAGATTGTTTCAAAACCACTCACTGGAAACGTATTTCGTGCCATCTATTCTGTTATTGTTATTTCACATTTACGTAAATTTGCATTTGAAATGTATTTCACTCCATTTCGGATCCCACCGATACACAGCTCTGTCGATGATGGTAGCATACTGTCTTTAAACTTTGTATTATATACTGGGCAAGAGATTGTCCTACCAATACTTGGTTAGAATTAATACATCCCCTCCGTCTCATTCATTACACACCTGGCCTCGTGCGGTTGCTTATTCTGATTGTGTGACGGTCTTACAACTAGGAGCTAGGAGGACTGTATAAATGTACATAAGCCGTAAGGGAGGAAGTCGCGTGAAAAGGGACTCGTTTGCCGTTTCCTGACTGGTACACAGAAAATGCCAACAGGAACAGGAAAGTTACCATTATCAAATGAAGCAAACGCGACACTGTGAGCCGAGAAAAAAAAATAGACCACTCTGCAAGAAATACTGATACACAGTCGGTCGGTTCCAGCTCAGAGTACGACAACGTCGTAATCCTTCTAATACCCAGCCAAAACGACAAGATGCATAGAATGGTGTAGTGAAATGGTAGAAAAAAAAATTGACTTACCTATTTTTGGCCGCCGCAGCTCGATCCCGCTGGCGTCTATTTTTAAACCAATTTCCCACCTGTGTCGGTGTGAGACCGGTGGCCTGCGCCAGTTCCCGCTTCTTGGTTGGATTCGGATATGGATCCTGTAGGTACCACTCTCTTAGCAGACTTCGCGTTCGCTCTTTGAAGCAGTGAGTCTTCTGCTCGCCGTCCCAGATTGTCCGGGGTAGCGGAAATTTTTTCCGGACACGGTACTTATCGACTGGTCCTTCGGTTGGCCGCGGTGAGGTTGAGTGGAAAATGAAAAGAACGACACAGAAAAAAACAGGGTTAGGAAAAGTGAAAATTTACTTTTTTTTATTTAGCTGAGTTGATGGCTTTTCAACATCTGCAGACGCGCTTTCAGGACGTGACGACCGATGGGAAATTGTGTAGATTAATCTATTAGACTGCGGAACAGTGGTACCCTTGATATTTGTAAGCCATACAAATTTATGGAATCGAGTTTGATAAATTAGATGAAACAAAGTGCTACAGAAACCGATGGTTCCGTTCAATATTGTATTTATTAAAGGTTTATTACTAGAAATTCTGATATGATGGTTTACAGACTTAGTGACAAGATTTTGTAGGACTGTGAACAACTTCGAGAGAATGGAGAGTAATTTCCATTAAATTCTACTATCTGTATCACTTATCCTTGACAGGTACGCGTAGCATCATCATCATCATTTCGTCCTTGAGTATCCAGTACTAAAACTCGGCTAGAAAACTATACACTAGAGAAGTCTGCACATTGTGGAGCCAATACGCGTATCTATAAAAGTAAGCGATATGGAAATTACCAATTCTTCTCTCCAGTATAGACACCAAAATTCATAACGACAGGTAGGAGATGCCTAGATAAGCTACGTCATAAAGGCGGTTGTGCAACATTACCCCGAATGGCCACTTCTCCGAAAGATGTTCTGTCTCCATTTGAATGCCGCTCGTAGTGTAATTCGGGGTGATGGCGTTCAGCGAGAGGCATTCGGGGTAACGGTATTCGGAGAACATGAAATTAGAGTGAAAAAACTACAGCAACAGATTAAAAATGGTAAATCATATGTTGAAAGATTTGCTTTAAGTTCATTTTCCAAGCGGATGAAGATGGTTGTGTATAAAAAATGTACCCCGGCTACGACAACTTTAACCGAACTGAACTTGCAGCACCGTCGTGTGTCGGTGTCAAGGTGGGATTAATTTCAAACAAATAACGCCGACACTTACAACTATCGTGTGTTGTTTATCTGAAAGCCACATCGGAGCCTTGCTGTCTATTAGGGACTGCTGTTTTTGTCTGTCCCGCTCTCTCGATTCATTATTCCCCACCTCCCATAAAGCCATTACGAGTGGCACCACCTGTAAGACACGGCAACAGCAGAAAAAAGAGGTGCAAAAACATATGCTAATAATTATGGTCCCATCAACTGGTATGTACATACACCTACAAAATAAGATAGGTGAGAAGCGTGCAATTTTAGAAACTAATCTAACGATGCGTCATCGTAATATCTGTATAGGATGTACTTTCGATTTCAATTGATTGGGTACCTTTTTATACAGAAGCATAAAGTGATGATATTAAGCACTCATGGAAATCACCATTTCCGTGAACATTAAACAGTGTAAATTTGTGATAAATATAATGAACAGATATTTACATCATGGATCGTTTATATTTATGAAAAGTATTCGGAAAATCATTCTCATGGATGAGACCCCTACTGAGAGAATTAGCTCGCATGCGAATCTTCAAACTAAAACTCACGCTTGAGATTCTCATGCATTTTCACGCACTCACAATCACAGCGTCACAAATTCATTCTAAGCAGTGAATCAAGAAGTGGAGAAAGATATAGACAATATTGCATGCTAACATTGTCCCAATAATTTCAAGTTGCAACAGAAAATGATCGAAATGATGGAATGACAAAAAAAATCCACATTTCATTGTGAATATCGTCGTTTGTGCATGTTCTGACAAAAACTGCAAGCAACATTGTCTTGTTGCGTGACGCTAGTAATCGTGCTTTGTTATTAGGCTCGTTTGTCGTATGCTAAAATTAAGATAGTTTGAGTACCAGATCTACTCTGAGTTGCTTTAACGCACCGACTAATACGTTATAGCTCGAAGTTTAATCGATGTTCATCGATCTTTTCTCTGATTTCTGTATAAATATACATCTCATATTTCTAGATGATTTGTTCAAAAGGTCCGCGATATTTTTGTGACATAGTTTGATGAGATTCTGATCTGAACACTAAAAACATCCATGCAATTTAAGTGTAGAATTTTAGACTGACATATACGAGCGTCAATAATGACATAAAATTCAGGTCAATCAATCGGATTCTTCCCCCAGGAACATATTTTCGGTCTCGGGACACTTAATTTTACATGACCTATTTTGGACAAGTAAATATTTTCAAATGTGTATTTGCGCATCGAGACGTGACATTTCGCTCAACTGCTGTTTGATATTATCGGCGATATTCTGTTTTTTTTTTAAACTGAATAACAGATAACAATGTTATGAAAAAACGGCATGGGGTAACTGGAGCTAAGTAAAATGTTCTTATAGTATTCATCGATCATTATAAACTAATAATTAAACATAACATAGAAGGTCCGGGCAATCGATGTTGTTACTCAGGACGTCAAATACGAGCAATCGCTGAATCTGAAGGCGTCTTGCTGCTAGTAACTCAAGGCCAAAATGTTGAAAATGATTGTACTGATGACGGATTATTCATAAACATGGTATCGCCTTTTTCTGATGAAATTTCAGCCACACCAACAGTAGGTAAATTGAAAATTTCCAGGCCCTCTGGAGTGCGTTCAGTTTACAGGAATCCCCCGAATAGTACTGTGGGTGGTGAAGTACAGTATTTCTCGGCGGTCCTCCAACCAATTCCGCTCCTACACTAATCACATATAAAAGCTCAACTGGTTGGAGGATCACCAAGAAATAGCGATGAGAGGATTGCACCACCCACCGTGCTATTTGGAGGATTCCTGCAAACTGAACACACTCCAGAGAGGCTGGAAATTGGAAATGTATCTAGGGGAATTTACGTATTCTCATCAATCTAAGCAGCGTCTGCACTTCTACTAGCATTTTCTCAGCGTGACGCACATATATGATGTGTCTGTTTGTTTACATTCATCTGCTGCTTGCTTCTCTATCCATTCCAATCGACAGAATTTTTCAAAACGTTTTGAAAGCGTTTTTACAACGCTCCAAACTTCTCAGGTGAGTGTGACTATTGTCGGCAGTCTCTTTTTCTTCGGCAACCTTCCCATTAGAACTGCGTGTTAACCAGCTGTTCTATTATCGGCAACTCGAAATCAACCTCATTTTGTAGTGCGTATGCTTTATTTGAAGAAAAATGTAGCATTACTGGATTGCTCGATCGTTCAAATATAATCAGATTGAAGCTGAATGGCTATACAATCGTTTGGACACATTCAGGGAAGTGCGTTGATAGGAAAACATAGTGAAATTAACGTTTAAATTTTGGTTGCCGAAAACAGTCAATGGGTGCCGAAGCCAACATTTACCCTACTGTTGCTGTGGTGGAAATTCCATCATAAATAGAACAAACTGTCCTGCCGATACCATGTTTATGAATTATCCATCACCAGTACAATCATTTTGAACATTTTTTTTAATCTTTAGAGTCTTGTAAAACTACAGCAAAAAGTCAAGAATCTTTGATAAGTGCCTTCAATTGTCTTTGCCCGTAATAACGTCTTTTAATTTATGTCCACTACCTTGAGCTGAACACGAAGACACGGAAGCACAAACCCAAACATAATATAGGGCCGAATCCTGGTAGAAACATATACATGTCCCGTATTGTAAACTTCCATTAAGCTTGGGATCTGGAATCTTACAATTTCTTTCTCAATTTCATATTTAAATCAGGAGACTAGTAGTGTTCGAAAATAGATGAATTCTTCTCAAGTATTCCACCAAACGGCAATCGGCCAAAATGCGTTCGGCCAAATGAGGTTCGACTAAACAGCGTTCAGCCAAACGTTATTCGGCCAAACGTGATTCGGCCAAACGTGATTCGGCCAAACGGCAATTGGCCAAATGGCCGGACACCAAATCATCGTGATGCCATATTTTCAAAAGGACAGATAAGGCAAGTCCTAGAATCAGCGTCACATTTCAAATGGTTGCACAAAGTTTGTTTCTTCTGGTGATTATTGATAATATAAATGGTGATGATGATGGTCTCACTTCTCCCAAGGCAATCCTAGCATCCTGATAATCCTAAAATCATCTTCAAGAAAAACGCAATAAAACTACCCCTTCACTATTGAATATTTCTTGATGCCCCCAAAATTGGTACAAATGTTATAATTTGTCATCCAAAAACATAATTTTGCCTTTTAATTCTTCTAAAACATCACCAATTTATGTGATTTTTTGGGCGATACCCTGGCTCTAAAAGAACTTCCAAAAAAGTTCCAAAACAATGAGTTTTACTCTACATGTGAAAAAGCTTTAAGGGGAGGTTCATTTGGATTTGGCCGAAAATCGTGCAAACTTTGCGATTTTTTTCTGGGAAAACGAAAAGACATACAAAGTTGTGCTATTGAGTTTTAATGCGTTATACATTGATGGCTAGAATATATTTTTTGTTTTTGAAAAATTCAAAATGGCGGCTTCAAAATGGCGGCTTCAAAATGGCGGATCTCGTCGGCCTCTGCGCACGAAACAATGTCTCCTGCTGTCAATTGTAGGGCCTTCCGTGGTAAACTGAAATGAGTAACTGTCATATATTACGAAAATAAATAAAAATTCCTACGGCATATACCTAACATAAACAAATTTTTAACGAAAAAAACCTAACTTTTTGGACATTAAAAAAATAAGTTAATATTTTCTCATTTTTTTTTTTACTTTGATCTCGTTTAAAAATTATTAAAAAAAATGTCATGCCTATAATAGGTATAAGCCGTAAAGAAAGGAATTCACTTTAAAACTATGTTTGAATGAAGCGAATCGGATGAATAGAACAAGACTTATCATTGACAAGAGTTCTCAAAACATGGTTCCGAGAAAAACGCGTTTAAAGTTTTTGGCGTAACATGGGTCCGTTCGAGACGCTCTAACTCGAAAAATACTTTTTGTATCGGAATATCCTTTGACACATATATTCTACACATGTTAAAACTACAAAACTTTATGTAAAAAAAATCGATTTTATCGACAAAATCTAAATGAACCTCCCCTTAAGCGTCCACCAAAAATATTCACTTTGACTTGGTCTTGAATTACTTCTTTCGGTGATTTTTAGAAATTCAAGGCACGCCCCCGCAAACCAACATAACAACCAGGCATAGGAAGTCTTCCCCTATTTCGATGGTGATGTTGATTTGCGTGGACGAGGCTTAACTTTCTATAAATTATCGAAAGAAGTCATTGTTTACCAAAAGTGTTACGACCTAATTTCAGTACTATTTTTTACGTTTTTAAGAGCAATTTTTGCAGTTTTTTTGCTATTTGAAAAAAAAATCTGGCATTTCTAAGGCCAGCTCTTGGCGTTTCAAAATGTTTGTGATTGCAGGTTGTTTTGGCATTTTTTATATTTTTTTTTTGTATTTGTATGATAACTTAGAAGGTTTACCTAGGTAACATTCAAGTTTTATGAAGGTTGTAAAGCATTCTTCAAGTCTAAACCATGTTCTACAAGAGTGTGTATTTTGGATTTTCTAAGGCCATTTCTTGACGTTTTAGAATAGCTTTGGCGATCATATGACATTTTATATGTTTCAGGAAGTTTCGAAGTTTTAGGTCATGATGGCGTTTTCAAATTTGTTTAGAGATTTTTAAGCCGTAATCCAATTTAAAACCATTTTGGCGTTCGGAGTTTAGCAAAAGCCCCGAATGTTTAAGATAATCCGAAGTATTTTCAAACATTATATACTTGTACTTTATTTTGGATTTACTGACTATTTTGTATTTTTAATTGACGCTTCAACGGCAAGTTTTGATCTGATTTGACATTTCAGCGCCATTTTGTCAATTTTAATATCGTTTTCTAGTTGTTTGACTGTTTTAGAAATTTTAAGCTATTTTGGCGTTCTAAGGCTATTCACCTAGTTTTTAGGCTATTGTTTATTTTAAAGGCTGCTTTAGCTGACCATTCAGCGCTCTGAAGATCATTTTAACGTATGTCTTTAATGATGGTGGGTCGCATGTTTATGGAACGTTTAAAAGTGGGTTGCAACCAATACAAGTTTGAGAACGGCTGCATTAACGTTTAACAGCAGTACATTCAATATTTGGGAATCAAATAATTTTTAACTGATTTTAAAAGGTTGAGTCATCGGATGAAGTTATCGCAAGCTGCACGCAAATCGTCTAATCGTATAGCATTATAAATTTTGTCAACTCTTTAAAACTGTTGTAAGCCATACATTTTCAAGTTGCTAAATTCCTTACATTTTGAATATGTGATCAATCTGACAAATAGAAAAAAAAAGTCTTCTGGCAATCATACTTATATGGTTTTTGTAGTTCCTCGATTTGTATCAAAATGTTCCTTTTTTAAATTATTCATTTCGTTGATTTTGGACCACCGTGAGCCATCTTTATGACATAGATATTATTAATAATTAATCTTTATTTTCAATTGTGGTCACAAGGAGGAAAAATAAATTACTTTCAAAATCCGTTCGGTTTTGGCACGGTGTCAAAATTGAACCCCGGGCCAAAAACGTACGATGTTGTGGTTTTATTGCCAAAATCGAACCGTTCCAAAATCTAACGGGTACTGTAATTGGTTTCTTATCTTCTCTGCACATGCTACTTTCGGGTAATATAATACAGTACCGTAATCCGGGGGCAAAGTGATCACTGGGGTGAAATTGATCATTTTAGTTTTAAGTTATCACGTAGAAAATTTTCAACATAGATTTCAAGATAAATGTTGATAGCTCGTCATGACGAGAAAAATTTCAATTTTATTTTACTGATGTTCAATATCATTCAATAGCAGCATTCAAACAAACGGTCATAGGATTCCAGCAATAGATATCGTTAACTAGAAAGTGGTATTTTTCAATAAACTCAATGAATATGAATTATTAGAAAAATTACCGTAAATTGTATTGAATAATGAGAAATCAATGGTTTTCGGCGAAATTTACAGTGATTTTTAAATAAAGTGCCTACCTTTAGGTGCAACTATACTCTGAGAAATATTTTTTTGGAATTTCTATTGAACATACACTTCACACTAGGATAGTATCTGATTCGGATTCAGGGATAATAACAGTTATTAAAAATGTACTCCAAAGTAAATTAAGGGACTGATCAATTTCACCCCATATCGATATTTTCAAATTTGATATTTCAATAATATCCTAAAAATAAACAAAACACTCTATATAATAAGTAATCATGCAGAACGATAGAGCCCTCATTTTAATACCATTAGTTTGTCAATTTCGTTTAATGTGGACATTTATTTATATACTTACATCATCACATCATTTTTTTTTTCATATCAACGATCGAGCATCTTTTCGCAGAATCAAAATGTTCGTGCAAAATGTCCACAAGTTGATCTTATAGAACCTGTTCAATATATGCAAAGATCTCAATTTATCAGTTATTATTAATGGTATTAAAATATTTCAAAAATCTCCAAACGACTACATTACCTAATCTGTATATTCCGGATAACGCATAAATCATGTTCAAACTGTAAGAGAATCTTGCATCTCTCAGGAGACAAACGAATTCAAAATGCATAATGGAAAAATCGTTCCAGTCAATGGTGAGCAATTTCAGTAAGACAACGAATCTTTTTTTTTTACTGATGCATACGATGCTAAAATGTGCGTCATTTCTGAAGCTTACGTTTGTTTTGAAATCGTCATTTTCGTTCGATAAATGTGATTATGAGAAATATTTTTTTGGAATTTCTATTGAACATACACTTCACACTAGGATAGTATCTGATTCGGATTCAGGGATAATAACAGTTATTAAAAATGTACTCCAAAGTAAATTAAGGGACTGATCAATTTCACCCCATATCGATATTTTCAAATTTGATATTTCAATAATATCCTAAAAATAAACAAAACACTCTATATAATAAGTAATCATGCAGAACGATAGAGCCCTCATTTTAATACCATTAGTTTGTCAATTTCGTTTAATGTGGACATTTATTTATATACTTACATCATCACATCATATATTTTGCCTCTAGATTACGTTAGCACTTTTTGTTTCCCTTTTGGGAACATTTTTACTGAGTTATTCATTCAGGTAGCAATGGTAGCACTTACAACAGAGTTCAACGATCGAGCATCTTTTCGCAGAATCAAAATGTTCGTGCAAAATGTCCACAAGTTGATCTTATAGAACCTGTTCAATATATGCAAAGATCTCAATTTATCAGTTATTATTAATGGTATTAAAATATTTCAAAAATCTCCAAACGACTACATTACCTAATCTGTATATTCCGGATAACGCATAAATCATGTTCAAACTGTAAGAGAATCTTGCATCTCTCAGGAGACAAACGAATTCAAAATGCATAATGGAAAAATCGTTCCAGTCAATGGTGAGCAATTTCAGTAAGACAACGAATCTTTTTTTTTTACTGATGCATACGATGCTAAAATGTGCGTCATTTCTGAAGCTTACGTTTGTTTTGAAATCGTCATTTTCGTTCGATAAATGTGATTTCAACCGTAATTGTACATTCGTCTCGGAGAAATTGTATGCCAATATTGATAGTCGTTACGATCATTGCTCGGCAATCATTTTCCTCAACAAAATTGCCCGTGGAAAGCGTGCTGCTGTTTTTGTCACCCTTTTGAGCTTACCTAACGGTCGTCCACGTAGTTTTTCTGCCTCATGGTAGTGCGCTTCGAGCCACATCGCCTGTAATTTTCCATGTGACGTTTTAGTGAACTTGTGTCGCTCTAGTATCGTGTACAGTTCCCTGCAAATGAACAACAAAAAAGCAAATATACACTCATAAGTACAGAAAAAATGCATTCAATAGAAATAGGAGCATTAGAAAACCAATATCAATCTCGATCAGCACAGGAAACGTATCAGCTTTGTTTGGAAATGTGCAATTTGCGAATCAGACGATGGGGCAAAAAATAGTTAATTGTAAACTCCCACCAGGGCAATGTATGGGCAGCCCCAGCAGCCAGTGGTCAGTTGTTATACATGTATATAGTAAAGGTAGAGCTCAAATCATGCTTGAACGTGACCTAGTCTTCTAACACTGAATTCAGACGAGAGCAAATTATTTTAATAAGCGCGTTTTCCTTCTGCACATAATCGTGCCAGCCAAACGTAAACGATCGCTCTCCCGATGATAAAAGTACAACCATTCAGCCAATTGTACAACTGCCAGGCGTCGAGCAAAATCGGCCAGCCAAAAAATCAACAATTGATCTATCTTGTACGCACGCAGGCAGCGAGGAAGGAAACCCACAAAATAGCACCACCACCAGCGAGCTTGCGTTTAACTAGCTATAAACTACAATTACTCGCAGCTTTTTCCCCACTTTTTTTTCAATATTTTTCTGCCAGCTGCCAGAAGCTTCCACGTTGTATCGTTGTTTTGCTAATAAAATTATTTGTCGAAAATTAAAAAGAGAAAATTTCCAAATTATCTACCGTGCACGCTAGATCATTATTACAAATTTTACTGTTTATTCTTCTCGACCAAACAGCTAGCAGTCAGGCTCAGCAAGAAACTATCAATTCGTTACAAAATACCTACACAGTGTCGATCGGTTATGCGCGCCTCACAAAACCCATCGCGGACGAACCAGTTCGAAACGTTAATGGCGGTTTTTTTTTGTCCGCGCCAAAAGGTAATTTATTGATTTTATACTGCACACGTGGTTTTGCTCTAACGTCTAACAAGCCTCGTTTGGAAGCGTTTACGCCGTTCGTTAGGCTAAGTTTTCCTCTACGCACTCAATTTTGGCCAAATTGGAGCACGAATCGCAGGCAATGACAGCCATTATAGCGTACCCCGCCGTGAATCAGCAACAGCTGGTCCATTTATCTCTTTGATTAGATGATTTTTCTCACAATTAGAGCAAGAATAATTGTGTTATATTGATAATTTCGAACCAATTGCATATTGGATGTGGAAAGTTTGTGGAAGAGGCGCCAGCTTTGCCCACACGCAGGTCGTATTGTGAGCTGTCAATAATGTTAAACAAAGGTAATAAGCGTTAATAAGGTATAATAGGTAATAAGGTTTTGCCAATTGATTTATGAAAAAAAAAATATACCTAATATTTCGTTAGATTTTTTTTTTTTTTTGCAATGTTAAATTCAATTTGCATTCTTAACATATTTTGTATGAGTATGTGTATTTGAGTTCTAATTTATTTTGAAAAATTATCCAGGACCAGTATTTTAGAAAAATATTCGTAGTTATAAAATCTGGCTGATTTCTCAAAGTGGCAGAATTTTGAGATGATTTAATCTGGATCTTTGAATCATGCTCTAAAATTTGTCCAAGTCTGAGATCGCGAAATGTTTGCGGAGTAGCTAATTTAAAAATTTGGTGTGCTTAGTAGGACGGAAAGTACATCAAAAACTCTATACAAATAAACAAATCGTATACAATGCACCCTACTAAGCACAAACCACGCTTTACCTCTTCTTTTTTTAACGGGTTTGAACAAAAAATGAATATTTTCATCAAATATGGCTTCTAAATTTATTCACCTTTCCATACGTACCGTTGGATTTTATAAATAGTCGCAAATTGTCGAGATATGGTTTAAAATCATATATTGCTTCTTGAATCTAAATTCGTTCTACGAGTTCCAATTCCGTCCTAACACATTGAAACGCCATTAGATTTTCTTCGTCTTACGGATAAACGTAGAAAAAGGAGATTCGCTAGGAGCGCTTCTTTTTTTTTTTTTTTTTGACAACAATGAGCGTAAATATTTATACAATGCGCTCGGAACAAACCTATTATTGATTTGTGCATGGTGAAATCATTGATATTATTGATCTTTTCTGATCGATAGAACGGAAATGGGCGATTACGACAAAGTAGTGCTACGTACAAAAGTTGAGGCCCTATATGTGCAAATTTTAATTTCTTTTTAAACTAGTCGATTTGACATTATATATGACGTAATCTACAATAACAAATTAAATACGCCGACGCCAGTGACTACAATTGTGGCAGTTGATTTAAGCGATTTGGAGCAATCGACCACATCCGATTATCCTGCATTCCTTGCTGTAGGATCACTTCATTCGGAAAATTTCAAACAAGTTGTACACCAGACTGTTACACCAAACGAGACAGGGCTGCTTGCTACGGGTTCCCCTAGACTGATTTGGTGAGATTGTTCTTTTTTTAAACTTTTATCTATTTAAACTTCCTTTCCATGAACCGTATGTAACATCTTCCATTATTTTTTTATTTCATCTTTTATTTCTTTACATTATAAGTCAATCAGTATTCTTAAAATCTTCACCAAAATAAGGGATAATGTAAATTGAGGAGCTAAGTGCCTACCGCTTTTGCTTACTGAGTAGAAAATCGTGGGTTTACTCCCAGGCTCCTAAAAAACAATTACCATGGTCACATCACCTTCTTAAGCGAATCCTGACCCATGTCCTACCCAACTATCTAACTCCGTAGCATCTATGGGGGCGTCGGTGAGTCGCTGGTCTCCCGTTAAGTAGATGTTACATCAACAATATCCTTCCTTTCCCCAGTAACAGGGTTGGTAATGGTAATTGTTATGCTTTATCTGTTCTGAACAGTTGGAGGCGAACCAGCCTAAGGCTGAAAGCCTCCTAAATAAAGCTAAATTAATTAACTGTTCTGAACTCTGATTGGAGAGCTATTCACTCCCAAATAGTTTTCAATGATACATGATACTGTCCAGTATGCAAACTACGAATTACTCTATTACAAACGCAACGCAACGCAATAAATTTAATTTGAAAAGTCTTACGATGTAATCCGATTTAATTTGTGAAAAAAATCATCGCATAAAAGTCGAAAATTTGCATTCTATACAATTTAACGCTTTGATGGCTATATGGTGAATATTAGTAATATCTTTTTTTTCCCCGGTGACTTCATCTTTCTGAAGAGGACTAGGCCTGGCACTTTGCTATGTTTATGCTATGGACCAAGATTTTAATTTATTATGTTGTGATTCTATTTTCGATTATTTTGTGTATGGTTCGCTTTTTAATATTGTACAGGGTGATTAAGAATAACTGTCACCGATTTCACAAATATGCAATTCTCAATGGGTAAAATGGGTATATGTTCAAGTATTTTTGTTTTAAGTGTGTACAAATATCAGCTTGTATTGGTAGTAGAATTTGAAATTTCATTCGTTTGTGATTTCAAGCAGCCATTGACGTCAAAATGGAGCATGGCATATATCTGTAAAAAAATCGTGTGTTATCTTTTAGAAACTGAAATCTCTTCGAAAGAATGTAACATTTATTTTTGCATCATTATAGAGGTACAAAGGAACCATACTTGGAAATTCAATATCAGAGCTTAAACGCATCACCAGGACTCAAAAAGTGCTGGAACTAAAGCGTGCGTGCCAGCTGTGGTTAATTTTCATGACAAATGTGGCTGATAATTAAGGTAAAGCGAGAGAGATTTGAAATAAACTATGCTTAGTTGAAGGTTATATATGTACAATATCTGGAATATAATGATATCAAAAATTCATGCAAGCGTTCAATCGTTATGACCATTTTTAAAAGGGACAGTTATTCCGAATCACCCTGTATATGTTGTGTGAAAAGATATGGGGCTTTTGCGCCTGCTGTAGCTGGTTCATTCAGGATTTTCCCCATCGAAACTTCATTAAGACTGTTAGTCAGATGAAGATGATATACTAAATAAATAAATTATTAATATGCAATCAACTTTGATCATAACCAGGCCAAATTGAATTTTAGACTTATAGACTTTAGAAAGATCAATTTTACAATAACGTTGGGTTTAGGTCATAGATTAACATTGACTGCTGTTTACAAATGTAAGTACTAGAACACTAAGAAATAAGTTAACTCAAATGCTTTAACCGCATATATCAGAGATTTCGCGTATTGAGAGAATAATAAAGTAATCGAGTACAATAAACTCAGGGGAAAACAATACCTTAAAAAAGTTAAAAGTTATTAATTGTCACTTACCTCTACTTTTACTTATTTCCTAAACTATTCCTCTCCTTGCTAATCTGCTCGCGTTTTCTTATTGAAGTTCAAGACTAAATAGGAATATTTATTCAACTAAAGGTTACCCGAGCAAAGTCGGTTAACAAAATGAAAGCAAATCGATACTAAAGTTTCAATTGTCGCGACAGAAGTCTGATTTCATATTGTGTTTTCATTATGCAGTCAAGACATTCTAAATCAAAGCAACTTAGCTTGAAGTTCTGCTGTTATTTTTTGTTAAAAATTTGATTTAAGTTCATCTGTCGTTGAACTAACGATTATTGTTTATTTGTTTTGTTTAATATATTTGAGGTCATTCATGACTAAGCCGAGGTGAGATTTGAGATCAAGTCTTTCAGCGTGAAAAGCATGGATGCTAACCATTTACGCCAGGCCCGTATTCAGTTAAACATTATGAATGCAAAATCAGTAATCGAATTGATTTCATTAAAAGCAGGATTAGTGGTCCGTTTACTTCAATAGTGTAAAATGCTGCTCTCATTTTTGCTGTGTTAACTATTAAGTCAACCAAAATGAGATCAAATGGAGTATTCAAAATAATTTACATCATAACAGCAAATTCTGATTGCAATTTGATCTCTAACTTTGCTCGGGTAGTTGCCTCCCTAAGTGGACCCCCCGCATCCTAGTTCTTTTGTTAATCTACTTAATGTTATTAGACTTTATGAAGTTTCTTATTTAAGTTCATTTGATGATTATAATATCTCATTAGTCTAATTTAATAAA